ATATCTACTATCTGATTATTTTGTATATTAGTGAAGAGGGTCTTCAGTCAACTTCCAGGAAGCCGGGTTATGCTGCCAACAGGGATAAGAGGGACACTTGTGCCAGTTGTCCCAGGAGATGCCCATTGCTTGACACTGACTGGGAAGAGCTCACCTGCCTCACTTTTAAGGAGCCTTCTATTTATTCTCTTCCAAAACAGATATATTTGTTCTTCTGGCAATTCATGCTCATCCCAATATTCTTCTCCAGTATCATAATTCAGAGGCATCAATTCCACTTCAGTCTCCCTTATTTATCTTCCAGCTTTCACATGCATATGAGGACATGAAAAATAGCATGGTTTGGGTCAGGCGCACCGTAGTCCTCAAAGTGACATCTTTGTTCCTTAACGCTTTAGAGAGGTCTTTTGTAGAAGATTTGCTTAATTCAGTACAGCATTTAGTTTCTCAGCTTCTTTTTTCCATGAGCATGGATTATGTATCCAAGTAAAATGAAATCCTTGACAATTTCAATTTTTTCTCATTTACTGTAATGTTTACTGGTTCAGTTGTGAGGATTTTTGTTTTCTGTACTTTAAGTTGTAATCCATACTGAAGGCTATATTCTTTGATCTTCATCAGCAAGTGTTTCAAGTCCACTTCGAATTCAGCAAGCAAGATTCTGTCATCAGTATACTGCAGATTGTTAATGAACCTTCCTGCAATCCTGATGCAGGTGATTATTCTTTCCCATAAGAGTACAAATGGAATCTCTGGGGACCAGAATGGTGCTTCTCAGCCACTGGACTTTTATGTCTGCTGCTGTTTTTGGTTGTCATGACTGGCTTCTAGTAGTTGGTAGTGGAGGCTGCTAAACATGTAACAGTAATGCACAGGGCAGCTCCTCCCAACCAACAGTTACCTGCTGTACGATGTCAGAGTGCCAAGGCTGAGAAATCTCAGTCTAGAAACTTCTCTTGGAAAATGCTCTCAAAGGTAGTCTTTTCAGCTAGTCAGATATCTCTCTGGATCAAGTGTTTTAAAGAGGCTGTAGAGATGAAGAGAAAAGGTTAAAACGATTTGTGTGTTCTCTCATTTTTGCTCTGGTATTTCTCCAGAGTCCAGTTTCAGTTGCTGAGAGTACTGGAGAAATGGTGGGATCTATGTGCATACTCTGTACCTTTACCCTGTTGTATCATCTCAGACAAAGTTAGTCTTTCTTACCCCTGGGTTCCCATTGAACCTTGTATATATGCCTTTGCTTTGCCATTTATCCTTTGTCTTTCATGATCTTCTGTCCCCACACTATTCTTTATTCCTACAGAGCTGGCCTGGGTTCTGCCATACATGGACGCCCACCCAGCTCAACATGAGGTCTGGTGCAGGGAGGTGCTTAGTAAGTGAGGGAGGATGGAATGTGCAGACTTGGGCAGAGCCTACCTGTAGGTCATGCCCTTCTGAGTGAGGGAGGGGTCTTACCCTGGAGGGACTTTGGTGAATAGATGCTACCTGAGCATTGGATAGGGAACTTACCAGCATTTGCAAAGCTTTCACAAGGGTGAAAGTTCTGGGGAGGTAACCCCTGCTGCCACCCATGAGCATTTCCCCATAATAGGAGATCGTAAAGCTGACTTCCACCTAAATTTAGTCATGGCTTTTGAAGAGGAACACTTGCATGGTGAGAACAACTCAGTGGCATTCATCAAACTTTGAATGTATTTGAAAATCAAGTTTGAAATAAAATTAGCATTCCAGACCCCTGCAGGTGGCAACTTTTAAGACTTTGACAAGAAGAGTTATATACAGAAATCGTGATTAAAAAAAAAAAAAAAAGATTGTGCTAATTAAACAGCTAAAACATAAAAATGTTTAGCTAAAAAGGTTACTTGATTTTCAGATGGATCCCTGTAGTCCATACCAACTGATATTTCTAAATACTTTTTGTCTTAAAACTTGTGTTTCTTGGTTTTAAATAAAATGCTGTTAAGCAAGTGAGAGACAAGTTTTTGGACTACCATAAAAAGAATTCATGTCCAAACTTGGGAGACCTCTATGTTGGATAGGAAATGAGGAGCTTGTTTTTGTCTCCAAACTCACTGCCATTGAGCTGATTTTGACTCACAGTGACCCTAAGTAGAGTTTTTGAGATTTTAAATCTTTATAGGAGCAGCCACCAAGTGTGGCTGGTGGGTTTGAACTGCCGACCAAGTGGTGAACAGCCCTATGCTTAACCCACAGTGCCACCAGCATTATTCAGCAAGTGTGAATTGCATGCCATCTTCATGCCAGGTGCTGTCTTTGGCACTAGGGATAGAGCAAGGAATGAAACAAAGCCCCTACCTTCTTGGAGTTTGCAGATTAAGGAGACCATTAAACAAATAGCATTAACAGTGTTATGGGAGAAAAATACAAATAGAGCAAGGGGATAGTGCCCAGAGTGAGTGAGTATGTATATATGTGTTTTAAGAAGACACTCTGAAAAAGAGATATTTGAACAGAAACTGGGATGAAGTGTGAGAATGAGGAGCTCTGAAAGTCTAGGGGAATAGATCTCCAGAAAAATAACTGCCCAGAACAGGAATGAGCTTGGTAAACTGAGGAAACAGTAAGAGCGTCTTTGTGGTTAGCCAGGAGTAAGGGGTGGGAGTGAGAATAACAGATGGGGTCAGAGACAAAGGCCTTAGGCCATGGTGAAGAATTTGGATTATGTTCCAAGAGAGATGGTAAACCATTGGAAGAGGGTTTTGAGCATGAATTGATTAAATTTGAGTTTCCTTTGGGTACTGTGTGAAGGCTTGTTTGGGATGGGTGAGGCAGAAGTCGAATTGGGGAGATAACTGAAGGTTGCTGTAGTAGTGGAGATGTGGTTGGTTTGGAGCAGTGCTTGGGGTGGTACTGTGTGGATTGTTTTGGGAGACGATTAGTGCTGGAGCAGAGAAGACTTGCTAATGGATGAATCTGGGGAGGTGGCTGTGTGGGATTGGGGGTTGTTGAGAGTACCATTTGCTAAGATGTGGAAGGCTTCAGGCAATGGTCTTTTTGACAGATTATGTTTAAGAAGTAGTCTTGGTAGTGCAGTGGTTAAGCGCCCAGCTGCAAACTGAAAGGTCGGCAGTTTGAACCCACCAGCCATTTGGGAGAAAAGACTTGGTGCTCTGCTCCGATAAAGATTTCTGCCTAGTGTCTTCTAAGGTCACGATGAGTTGCAATTGACTCATTGACACACAATAACAGCATGTTTTGGATACTATTACATATCTAAAAAGTAATGTTGCATTTTGTATTTGGCTACATGGAGTCCTGGTATGGTGCTGTAGGGTAGCACTGGACTGCTAATTTAAGGTGAGTGATTCACACCCACCAAGACACTCCGCAGAAATGCTTTACAGGGTCGGTATGAGTTGGAACCTACTCGATAGCCCTTAACGACAACAACAACAACATTGACCTTTGGAGTGGAGTATGAACTAAAGACATAAATTTGGGAAATATCAGTGATATTAAAAACATTTTAAATAGTATATTTAGTGTAATATATTTAAAATATTGTCATTTAAACATGTAGCCAAAATAAAAATGATTAATGAGATATGTTGTATTCTGCTTTTTACAATAAGCTTTTAAAACTTGGTATGTACTTTATACTTAAAGCACATTTCATTTAAAAAATGAAATGTAGTCATAATAAAACAATAAATTTGTAACTAACAGAAGAATATTGTACACAAATTCAGTGTTTTTTTGTGTGTGCTTGTTGAGTGCCTTCAAGTCGGTTCCGACTCATAGCAGCCTTTTTTGGGGTTTCCAAGGAGCAGCTGATATGTTTGAACCACTGACCTTGTGGTTAGCAGTTCAGTGCTTTTCTTTTAGTGCCACACCAGGACTCCTTTTTAGTTTACATGTGGCAAATAAAATAAAGTCATGGACGTGGTTGAGATCACTTAGACAGAGACGGTGGAGAGAAGTGAGTCCAGGAACCCCTGGAAGAAGTGAAGGCATTGTTTCTGAGCCATGGCCAGGGAGGAGCGGTAACCAGGAGATAGTGAGCCCTTGAAGCCAAGTGTAGGAATTGGTCTAGAGGAAGGAATGATCAACTCTATCAAATGCTGCCGCCAAGTCTGTTAATATGAGAACTGACCACTGGCTACTGGATTTGGCAATATGGATGTCACTGGTGACCGTTACAAGGGCAGTGGTAGAGGAGAGAAAGTCAAGTCAAGAAGTGAAGCCAGTGAATATAAACAGCTTTTTGAAAGATATTTTGTTGTGAAGGGAAACAGAAAAATGGGTTTAAGCTGGAGAGGATCTAAGGGGGTTTTTTTTTTTTTTTTTTTTTTTGGTATGATTTGTTTTTGATTAGCTTTGTTTTTAGGATGAGATGAAAGTGATTGTCTCTTATGTATATCCTGATAGAAATTATCCAGAGTCCTGGTGTGGCGCTGTGGGTTAATGCGCCAGACTGCAAAGCCGTTTGAACTGTAAGGTCGGCGGTTCAAGCTCACCAGCTGTTCCTCAAAAACCCTATACAGGCCCGCTTTGGGTTGAAACTGACTCGACAGTACTTCACAACAACAACAAGGAATTATACAATCGAGAGGGAGGATTAGAGTGAGGGTGGGGGATGAAGTTCAGACTGGAGCAGTCTGTGAATTGTCGGGTGGCCGTGCGATCCTGTGCACAATGGATGGGTGACTCTTAGGAGCAGGGAGGGATAGGGGGCTATGAATGGTAGAGATGCAGGCAGGTTGGCCTGTCTGAAGATCTAAACCTCACGTTCCCTAGCAATAAAGCAGGGAAAATGCCTACCAGGCAATGTTCTTGTTGAGGATTCAGTGAAGTGATGAGTGTGAACGTGCTTGGTACATTATAGTGCAGTGTGCATAGCCTTATTTTGCTATCAAAAATCAAGGTTTTGTATAACGTGGGCTTTATTTGCGAGGGAGTTTGCAACAGTGCCATTCTTCATGAAACAGTTCCATTTTGTCATGCCACTAAACATGCACTTGTCATCTCTTTTTCAGAAATGGATATAAGTTTCTCTACTGCTCTGCACGTGCTATCGGAATGGCAGACATGACCAGGGGATATTTGCACTGGGTTAATGAGAGGGGCACGGTGTTACCTCAAGGACCTCTGTTGCTGAGCCCAAGCAGTCTCTTCTCTGCCTTGCACAGGTACTGCCCTCATCTTTAGTCTGCCTCCCACTCTCAGGTCTTTGGACCAGCTCAGGCCCTCTTTCTTCCTAGCTGGAAGTTTTGCAAGATTAATTTCTTAACTAGTCTTTTCTTACCAATATCCATGCTCCACACTGGGCACCAGGTAATTCCAAAACTAGCCTGTCACTCTTTGCTCCTCGCCCTTCCTTGGCGCCTCATGGCTCTTGGGTTGAACTGCAGATTCATTAGCATGGCATCACATGACTGTTCATGATCTGACGCTGCCCTTCTCTCCAGTTTCTAAAGCTCAGTCATGCAGAACTACCTCCATTTTCCAGAATGGTGTTCTCTCCCTTGATCCTGTGTACAATTTGTTCCCTTTTTCAGAGAGCTTGCTTCCCACCTGTGCCTCCTATGTTTTGCCTATCTAAGTCTGAATGAACCTTTGAGAATCAACTTGTATTACCTAATCTAAAACCTCAATTTTGGGTTAAGTGGCCTTTCTACCACCTACCACCACCCTCCTGTCCTTGAACTCCTATAATGCTTGTCTTTTCTCAGAGCTATAATTACTTGTTTACCCTGGTGTGGCACTGTAGGATCAGCACTGGACTGCAGACCACAAGGCTGGTGGTTCAAATCTACCAGCTGCTATGCAGAAACCCTACGTAGGGTCGCTATGGGTCAGAACTGACTTGATGGCACTTAAAAACAACAATAACCAACCACTAGTCAATCTCTTATTTACCTTCTTTCTCTTCCAGTTTTATTTAAAGAATTATTTATTTATTTATTTATTTATTTTCCAGCTTTATTTAAGGAAGCCCAGCCTGACCTCATTGGAGTTGGGGGAAGGAAACACAGGATTTTCCCATAGTTTGAGGCCCAGAGCAGTTTCTCAGACTTTTCCTAAAGCATAATCTAGTGTAATTAACTATAGAACATTGGTCTGGTTAAAGGATAATTGTAAGTATATGTATTTGTATTTTAAGAGCCACTGAATGGCTTTAACATAATTCTGTCTAAATTTTGGGGCCATATAAGTTCTTAAAGAGCCCTGGTGACATGTAGTGGATTATGAGTTGGGCTGCTAACTGCAAGGTCAGCAGTTCGAATCTACCAGCTGCTCCATGGGAGAAAGATAAGGCTTTTTACTTCCATAAAGAGTTATGACCTCAGAAATCTATACAGGGTCACTGTGCTTCAGAACTGACTCCACGGCACACAACCACCGCCACCACCTAACTTGCTATTGCAAGCCATGCAAAGCTGTGAAAAAATCCAGATGAGCCCCAACACATATGTTGACTCTTGAATATTTTTCTTTAGCTCTATAGATACTTTTTCCATCATTGTTTTATGAGTGTAGTAACTTTTTTCCCTATAATAAATGAACTCACACTGAAATGTTAATATTTTCAGGAGAAAATGCAGGCAAACCCATATGGATTCTGTAGTATATTTCAACTCCTAAGATCTGTCTTCACAGTATGGATCACAGTAGAAATCCAGATACAACTATAGCTCAGTTTATTCTTCATAACTTAACCTTCTTCAGAGATAGAGCTCCTTCCAATGTCAAATGTCCAACAGTCTGGTCTTTTCTAGCTACAGTCTAAGCAAAGCCATTGCACATGTTAACTGTTCTGCAGGCTTTTGAGATTTGATGGATAAGTTTTGCCCTGACCATGAATGGCCTTCCTTATTTGTGGTAGTTTTCTGTATTCCTTTGTTATGACTGTTGTAATGAAGTGCCACAAAGTGAGTAGCTTTTAAACAGCAGGAATTTATTGTCTTATAGTTCTGGAGGCTTGTAGTTTGAATATATGGTATTGGCTAGGCCATGTTCACTGGCGACTCTAGGGGGATATCATTTCTTGTCTCTCCAGCTTCTGATAGCTCCAGGCGTTCATTGGCCTGTATATACATTGTCATTTAGCCATTTTTTGTCTCCTCTTCTTTTAAAAATTGTACGGTCCCATTTATATGAAATATCTAGAATAGATGAATCAATACAAATCAAAAGTAAGTGGGGTAGAGGGTGGGGGGTGACTTAAAGAGCCACTGTTTAATGAATACAGAGTTTTTGTCTGGGATGATGAAAATGTTTTGCAAACAAGTAAAAGTGATGATTTTTTCACAACATTTTAAGTGATCAATGCCACAGGACTGCATTCCTGAAAATGGTTAGCATAGCCAGTTTTATGTTAGGTACATTTTACCATATACACACAAGAACACACAGGTGGTATTAGTCAAAGAACGTGCTACTGCAGCGGCAGAAAGTTTGAGTCCTGTGACAGGATCCAAAGTAGGTTCAAGAATAAAGGATAATTTCATTGTTGAGTAGCATCTGGGGTCTTAAAAGCTTGGGAATGACCACCTAAGTTTCAACTATTGGTGTCTCTATGTGTGGAAGAAAGAAATGTAATGAGAATGAAGATGCTTGGAATCAATCAGTCCAGTGGACTAATGGAACCTGTGAACATTAGTCTGTATGACTTTGAGATCAGAAGAACTAGATGGTGCCCAGCTACCACGACCACCTACTTGAAAAGAGATTACATTAGAAGATCCTTTACAGAGTGGGATAAAATGTGCAACTAAACTCAAAATTACATATATATAAAGAAGACTGGATTTACTGGTCAGAAAGAGACTAGAGGAACCCAAGACTATGGCTTTTGACCACCCTTCATGTCTGGAAAGGAACTCAAACTTGTGGCCCAGTTTTCAGCCAAGCAGTAGATCGGTATATAGCAAGGAACAACAAAACTAGTAAGCTGTTCTCACTATGGAATGATTAGTCATTCGAAATCAAAAGGGCAACATTTACCGGAGAACAAAGTTGAGAAGGGATGGGAAAGGGTGAAAAGGAAATAGGAACTACAGGGAAGAAGTGGGATAACTGTTGTTTCCTGGAGGTGAGTATAGTCATTGAGATGAAGCAAAGTGGATGATTGAGTATAAACTGATGCTGAGTATAAAACTGATGCTCTTGTTTGTACACTTTCACTTAATCCACACAAAAAAATGGCTTTTTAAAAAAAGAATAAAGGATAGGTATGATGCCCTGGGCAAGTCTAGGAGGGAAAGATCAAATGGGGCAGTGGTTGAACATGAAAGGAGGTCTTTAATGGAGGACTGTAAACCTTAGACGGAACCAGTAAAGATATCAAGTAAATTCATTTTTATCTCTCTGCCCTGACACCTCCCTATAGATAAAGCAATACTGGGATTTTACCCTTGCTTCCTTGTTGTTGTTAAGTGCTATTGAGTCAGCTCCGACTCATAGTGACCCTGTATAGGGTTTTGAAGGAGTGGCTGTGGTTCAAACCGATCTTGTGGTCCAGTGCTTTATCCCACAGTGTCACACCAGGATTCTAGGGAAGGAAAAAAAAAAAAGCAAAACCAAAAAAAACTTGCTTGGGGTTCAAATTGATGAAGTAGTTTCCCAAACTCCTTCATCTACAACCGCTTTCCCATTAAATTAACTTCTAGAGCTGGCCTTTGCATGATGAACAATCTGGCATCACTTTTCTGTTTTTGGATGTATTATGGTTCCTATTCCAAATCACAGTAAGTAATAGCCCAGAGTGTCAAACAAAGTAGAGGTGGAAGATGAAATGAATTTACATGGCGGGGATCAATGAGAATTGAACTCCTCAGGACTGAAGAATCCAAGTGGGTAGATTGCTGGGTAGCACTATTAGAGATAGCTAGAAGATATCTTTGGGTTGAACAGTCTTCTAAGGGGACTACTTCTAGTGGGACCTCTTTTAAACCACTTATTTGTTGTTGTTGTTAAGTGCCTTCAAGTCAGTTCTGACTCACGGTGACCTTGTATATGGCTTCCAAGAGAAAGATGAGGCTTTCTGCTTCTGTAAAGATTTATAGTATTGGAAATCCTAAAGATAGTCACTATGAATCTAAACCAATTCAATGATGTATAATCACTACCACCATCACAGGTTAAGGAACGATTTTTTTAATGTACAAAAAGCATAAATCATAGAAGAAACAATATGTTCACCACATGAAACTAAGCATACATGTTCATTAAGTCATAACTGGAAAAAGATAATTTGTAACACTTTGTTGTTACAAGTCAGTTACAAGTTACAAGTCAGTGCCAACTCAGCGACCCTATGCACAACAGAACAAAACCCTGTCTGCCCAGTCATGTGCCAACCTCACAATCATTGCTTGAGCCCATTATTGCTGCCACTGTGTCAATCCATCTTGTTGAAAGTATTCCTCTTTTTCTCCAACCCTCCACTTTACCAAGCATGATACGCTTTTCCAGGGAGTGGTCCATCCTGATAATATGTCCAAAGTATGAGAGACAGAGTCTGGCCATCCTGGCTTCCAAGCAGCATCCTGGCTTCCAAGGAGCATTCTTCCAACACAGATTTGTTTGTTCCTCTGGCAGTCCATGGTACTTTTAATATTCTCCAACACCATAACTCAAATACATCAGTTCTTCTAAAGTCTTGTTTATTCATTGTCCAACTTTCACATGCATATGAGGTTGTTGAAAATACCCCAGCTTGGGTCAGGTGTACCTTAGTCCTCCAACTGACTTCCTTGCCATTTAGAAGTTTTATAACTATACTGTTCCCTCTTTTTACTGTGTAGTTGACTTCAGTATACGTTGATATCTCTGGTTCCCTATTTTCAGTCTTGTAGGTTTGTTTTATTGTAAAGACTTCTGTATCTGGGTTGAATTCTGGATGGTGCTGTCATATATGGTAATCTAAGGTTGTTGTCTACTGTTGTTGGTTCTCAGTCACAGAACACCCTTTAACGTTGCTTGTAAAATTGGTTTAGTCATTACAAATTCCTTTAATTTCTCTTTATCAGGAAATGTCCTAATTTTGCTGTCGTGTTTGAGGGATAGCTTTGTTGGATTTGTGATTCTTGCTTGGCAGTGTTTTTCCTTTCAGAGTTTTGTATATGTCATCCCATTTCCTTATTACTTGCATAATTTCCACTGAAAAATCAGAGTTTAGTCTTATTGGTTCTCCTTTGTAGGTAACTTTTCGGTGTTCCCAAGATGCTCTCAGAAATTTCTCCTTGTCTTTGGTTATGATACATCTTGGTGATTTTCTTTTGAGATGTATCCTGCTTGAGGTTCGTTCAGCTTCTTGTATTCTTATCTTGTTGTCTTTCATGATGTTAGGGAAATTTTCTTCCAACAACTCTTCAACAGTTTTCTCTGTGCTAGTCTCTGGTGGGTCCTTGCAATTCAAGGGGCTCATGAGGTGATTGTGGAAGCGATTTAACAGCAGAGTTCCTGGCTCTGGATGAGTTGCTATTGGCCTTGGTGTTATCTATGGTGTTATCAGGACACTCAATCTGGAAGGAGTTCTGGTAGCGTAGTGGTTACGAATCGGGCTGCGAACCTTAAGGTCAGCGGTTCGAAACTACCAGCTGCTCCGCGGGAGAAAGATGAGGCTTTCTACTCCCGTAAGGATTTACACCCTCGGAAACCCTGTACAGGGTTGCTATGGGTCAGAACCGACTCGACGGCACTTAACAACAACAACAACAGTCTCTTCCTGTCTTGGAATTCCTCTTTATGGCACCCTACATAACTCTTTAGCTTTCTTTGGGGTTTTTCATTCATTTTTATCATTCTTATTAGCATACTAGTATTGAGAAATTGATCTTTAAAGTCACTGATTCAGGCTTCCATTGCTGCACATCTGCTCCTTGGTCCTTACAATGTATTTTCCATTTTTGAGATCTTAATATTAATCTTCTAGATTTGTAATTTGCAGGTTTTGTATTGTTTCAAAATTTGCATTTATTCCATTTGTAATTGTAGTGTTTTTCTGAATTCTTCTAAAATTTTTATTGTGTTCTCATTTCTTTCTTGGATCTTTCTATTGATCCTTTGAAAACACCTAGTTAACATTCTTTTGAACACTTTTTCAGTTTGTTCCCATTACCTTTTCTTTTTCAGAAACATTTTCTGGGTCTGCATCTAGGTCATTTGTTTCTTCATGTGGGCTAAAACTTTCTGTTGTCACTGGGGCCTTGTGGGGTTGTTGTATTTGTAACAACAACCAGAGGGGAGAAATCTCTGGTGGGTCCTTGCAATTCAAGGGGCTCACGAGGTGATTGTGGAAGCGATTTAACAGCAGAGTTCCTGGCTCTGGATGAGTTGCTATTGGCCTTGGTGTTATCTATGGTGTTATCAGGACACTCAATCTGGAAGTAGTTCATGGGAGCCTTTGATGGAACTAACAGTGTCTGTTAGGACCATAAGGAAGCTGAGAGCAGGGTGACTGGTTAAATGCTGGTCTGGTGGTTCTGTGGGTTTTGTAGATATGGAGCCAAGCCCACCTGAATCTAGGCACCAAAATGGCCCACCAAAACTGTGTAGCTGGTCCCCAACTCACACTGGTATGGCTCCCAACCATGTGACTCCAAACTATGGAGAGCAGGGTCAGTGCTAGGGTTGAAATAGGGTGGAAGCCAAGCACACCTCCGGTCACCAGGGAAGAGTGGGGAAAAAGAAGAATTGCCACCTTCTCCATCTCCCACACACATCCACTCTACCAGACCTCCCTGCACTGTCAGAGCTGCTCACAAGATGGTGGAACTAGCTGTTCACCAACCAGTCTCCCTCTCTTGCCTTTCTTGCTTGACCTTTCCTCCCAACCAGCACTCCATCCAGCTCTTTAATCTTTCTTCTGAAGTTCAGGGTGCCAGAATTTCTGTGTCTCGTTTATTTGATATCTCATATCTTTGTTGTAGAGGATCCGTGTAGTGCACCTGCCTAGTCCACCATCTTTCTGGAAGTCTCAAATTTAATTTTTGAAGATATGACAGTGTTCTTATATATGAATGTGTTGTATTAGAGAAAGTGGTAACTTTTGAAATTTAAAAATAATGTGTGCTATTACTGAAGTGTATTGCATCATGCTGATCCATTATTTATTTATTTGCTTTAACAGAGAAGTGATTGAAAAGAAGCCAGAAAAGTTTAAAGTCCAGTGTTTGACAGATATCAAGAACCTGTTTTTCCCAAACACAGAACCCTTTTATGCTGCTTTTGGAAACCGACCGGCTGTAAGTAATAGATGGGATCTCTCCAAGACCTTGACATTACTACCTTTTCTGACAGCAGTCAGCTGAATGCCCTGGCCTGGCACTACATATAAAACCAGATTTCTGCCTACATCCTAAAAGAAAGGCATGGTAAATAGCCCCGTGCCTACATCTAAAGGAAAGATTATTTGATGAACTCTATTGTTTTCCTTAAAGATTGGCAGGTTAGTTTCAACTTGAAGCATAAGATGTGGATTAGAAACTACAAATTCTGTCCAGTCCCACCTTGTTACTCAATATAAATGGCAGCGTCTACCACAAGGAGCTCTGGTAGCGTAGTGGTTACGAATTGGGCTGCGAACTGCAAGGTCAGCAGTTTGAAACTACCAGCAGTTCCGCGGGAGAATGATGAGGCTTTCTGCTCTCGTAAAGATTTACAGTCTTGGAAACCCTGTTGTGAGTCGCAACCGACTCCACGGCACATAACAACGACAACAACCACATTTGGGTACCCTCTGAGTCACATGGCTACTTGCTTGATAAATAATAGTAAGTAAAACTGGATTAGGCCCTCTCTATCTGAAGGCAACCCCAAAGCTAGCGACACACAGCATTTCAGTATGATACAGTATTGTTTCGTGTGGTGTCATAGACACTTTGAGGTTTTGTATGTACTGGAAAGCCCAGCATTCCGGAGAGCGGCTTATCCCTTCACATTGTTGCTATTGTTGTTAAGTGCCATTGAGTCAATTCCGACTCATAGCAACCCTGTAAAGGGTTTCCGAGAAGCAGCTGGTGAGCTTGAACTGCCGAACTTGTGGTTCAAACCTACCTTGCAGTCCAACACATTAACCCACAGTGCCATCTTTTCACATACTGACCTGTAATACAGTTGGGTATGAATTGCCCAATAAGAAAATTCTCTTACTTTGGAAATCATGACACATGGGTACGAGATTATGGGTACAAGATTAACCTTCAGGAATGTTAGAATTGCAGAGACATGCTAGGTTGTCTGCTCTTCAACTCACTTCTTGAAAAGTGAGGAACTGAGGTCCAGAGAAGGAAGCAAATGTAATAATTTCACATCAAAGAATGATGGTATTTCTCTATAATACTTGGAGATACAACTTTGTTAGTGAAAACTTTATAATATTGTAGGAATCAGAAAACCATGTACTTGTTTTTACAGTTTTTTAATTAAGACTCTCAATGCCCTTTACCAAATACAGGACGTATATTCATACAAGCAAGTAGGTGTATCTTTAAATAGAATATTCACCGTCAATCCCAAAGGAGAACTAGTACAGGAACATGCAAAGACCAACATCTCATCGTGAGTACCATGAACGTTGCCTTGTCTCATTGTCACTATTGCTATCCCTTTTACAGTTTACCTTTCTATTATTTGTTGCTGATATTTTAGTCTTCAGTTCCTATAATGAAAAATGCAATGCTTTAACATCATGTGTTTTCCAAAAGTTAAGTTTTAACCAATTTAAATGAAATCAATTTCCTTGTGGTCTCAAGTTTAAGAATCTAAAGTTTCAATTCTGCTATCATGGGGCATTGAATGAATCTGAAAACTTGTGGATTCGATTTACTTAGTTTTGAAAGTCTAGCATGTGAATTAGAAATTTAGCCAAATTGAAATGTCATGTGAAGCTATATTTAAAGATGAGAAGCTATTTATTTCTGACCTTTAATAATATTCTTACCAGAAATTGTGTTGTGGAGTGAGACAGAGTCCTCATATTTTTGTTGAAAACCTAGTTTCCCAGAGTCATTGGGCTACATTGGATAACTGGTGTTAATGAGGCATTCTGGTTGGCTCTAGAGTCACTCTTGACTCTAAAGTACGTCACTTTGGGTTCCTAACCTCCTTCCTCATTCTGTGAGAGCTGTGTTAGAACGCTTTGTGCACTGGTTGGTGTCAACCCAACAGACACGTGTCATCCTGCCGTGTCCATTTTCAGAAGCAGGGCCTCCTTTGGCCTGTTCTTTCACTTTTCAGAACCTAACCTGGAAAATCACCTGTGGCCCGAGTAGAAGCTTAAGGGAGCCTCACAGAACCTTCCTTATCTGGCAGAACTAGATTTGGGGAGATTGGGTCTAGTGGCTTCCTAGGGATTGTCTTCTCCAGTCACCTTATGTGGTTGTAGATAAGGGTAGAAAAGAAGATTCTCTGCAGAGCAGGTTTTCACTTTCAAACAATTCCTATAATATTTGGAGTCTAATTCAGCTTAAATTGGCCAGAGAGAGAGGAGATGGAGCCAAGACCCTCCTCCATCTTTCACCATGTAAGTCCAGGTCAAGGTCATTTCTGATCTATACAACAGCAGGGGTTTTGTTCCTTTTTTAATGCTGTCCTTGCCATTTCTTCTCTCTCCTTCATTAAAAATGGTGACCCCTGGCAATGACAGTGTGTACTCTTTCCCCACATGAAAGGAGTTCTCCACTTTGGAAAAGACCTAGGAGATTTCTGTGTTGGGTCAAAAAAACCTCTTTACTGATGGTCTTCTGCCTGGAAATGGCATGGGAGTCTACCCGGACAGCAGATAAGTGGCAGTCTTGCCATGAGCATTATGAAAGAGGAATTCCAGCATCTGAGAGTTTGCCTAGAAGGCCTGTGGGGTTATTCCATTTTCCGATAGGCTGGAATTAAGATGCATGTTTTACCCATGGCACTGCTTAGTGTGGATATCTGTATCAGAGAAGACTACTTTGTATTTTACCAAAGAACATTAGTATGTAATGCACAGTCTGGGAGATGTGATTGTCGCCATGAGATGGATGCTCCTCCTTGGGGAGGCACACACTGTCTCTGACACTGAGCTACTTGTAAGCCAACTAGGTGCTTACTGCTCAGAGCCTTGGACTATGTCTGAGAAATCATCTGAGATATCTTTAGTTGATAGGAGCACACAGAATGGAGAAGCCTAGGGCTTTGTTTCTTTTGCGTTTGTGAATCCCGGGGTGAGCCCTGCTTGCTTTGCAGGAGCCCTGTGTGTGGAACATGGGTCAGAAAGAGGCACACAAATGGAGCTCTGGGGCTCCATCTCTCAGGATGTGTGAGAGTAACTTTATCTAGAACCCTCTGCAGCCTGGCAAGGAACTATCATCCTGCCCCAGCCACAAAACGCAGCAAATAGGCCAGGAGGTATTTTAAAATTGAATTTGGTTGACTTAATCCTGAGAAAAGACAAAATGTTGGCTTGTTAAGAAAAATTTCCCCCATTTTGTGCAAGCACAATATTTCTCATAAGTCCTTTGGAGAGGCCCTTTATTAAACACACACATTCATTTCTGATTTAATGTTATTTTATGCCTCAGAACATGCTAATTTCTGAAGTTTGGATTTCAAAAGCTCCTTCTAGGTTCTTAGGAAATGGGAACTGGAAAGGGACCCAGTGAGTGTCAAGGAGGAGACTGTGGGTCTGGAGGAGAAGCCTGCCTATGTCAGCCTCCCTGTTGGAGGCACCCTTGGTCTGAAAATACATGTTCTATATAACAACTTTGCTTTTTTGTAATACAAGCCAGACCAACTAATGTCCAACAGCTTAGAAAATGAAATGAGAGAACATTCTAGTGAGTGTTGAGAAACACTGATGCAGTCCAATTCTATGTACTATAAAGATGTAGCTCCGAAGGCCCAAACAGGACAAGAAGCTTGTCCAAAATTACACAGCAGGTAAGTCAGAAGTAGATTCCAAGTCTTTTGACCCCTCACGCTAGCTAGGACTTGTTTTCCTAAGGTGTGTTATAAATTTATTGTTGAATAAATTTAGTGAGTGTCAACCATGGGCCAGGCATTATTACATGTAGTATTTTATTTAATTCTCTTAGTAGCACTCTGGCATAGTTCTCCTTAATCTCCTTTTACAATTGTAGAAAGTGAGCGTTAGAGCAAGAGTAAGCCAGGCTCCACCTTTCCCATGTGAAACCTTTTGGACTCCTTTGCATACTCTTAATGACGTCTTGGATGATTTCCTTTTAATCTAACAAGAAATCGTTCCAGCACAACTTTCTTTGTGTTATGAGGGTGGTCATCTCTCTGAGGGCAAAGTCATCTCCTTCTCTTAACTGTGGGTGCGCGGGAGGTATTCACTTTAGCTGAGGACACCAGGCATTGATGATTTCCATCTTCCTTCCAGGTATGTGAGACTTTGTGAAGTGGTTGACCATGTCTTCCCATTACTGAAAAGAAGCCATTCTTCAGATTTTCCCTGTTCAGATACATTCAGTAATTTCACCTTTTGGAGAGAACCGCCACCACCTTTCGAAAACCAGGATGTTCATTCTGCTTCAGCCTAAAATGTACCAAGCAATCTCTTGACAAGAGTGCAGAAGACTGGGCCTCACACATTAAAGGATAGGTTTTTGTGAACCGCGGAGCTGGAACTCAGGAGAATGATGTGCAGTCATTTGCTTAGGGACAGAGAGAATTTGGAGGCATTTGCCCCTCCCTCCCTCCTCCGGGGGAGGGTGACATTTCTAAGGGAAATATGAAGGGGGTTTTATAGCTGAGGAATCAGGCTGTACTCATAGTGTGGAAAGCTGTCCCGGTTATGACTGAAATCCCGCCTGCTCCGGTGATTATTTGTTGATGTGCAATATATGGGCCTATGAAACCCAAGCACAGGGTGAGTGTTAGAGGACTGTCATTGCTGATGGCAGTATCAGCCGAGGAAAGCCAGATGTGTATGATTTTTGGTAAAGAGTAAGGGATGGGGACACACTTTCTTTATAGCACTCCTTTTGCACAGGGCAGTGGGGATTGTGAAGATCCATGTGATCTGAATCTGAGGCCTCACTGAAGGGAATCTAAACCATACTGGTTCTGGGCATTGGCCTTGTGAACGTTCCCTTTGTAGTATTTGCCTATTAGTCAAATTTTTGATGATAAATTCTTCTTTAGTTTTTTTGGTTATAAAGATAGCCTAAGTAATTGGCATATCTTGTCCTTCTCTCATTCTTTGTGGCTAAAGGCTGGAATATTAATGCCTTAATGCATCTGCAGCAGACATTTTATTTACAATGTGCTTCCTTCCTCTAGCTCTCTGTAACTTTGCAATGCCTTAACTTTAAATGATAGTCGATATTACTAAGGCAGTATTTTGAATCCGTTCAACACTGCCAGCATCCTTTTGTTTAGTGAGGTGGTGCTGAAAATGTGGACTAAGTGCAGACCTTATGCCAAATGATGATGTTGATTTTTATTGGGAACTCTCAAAAGCAATTCGTTTTAAGGGAATGTTTTCAGGAAGTTTAAATTATATTCTTTGTTGTTGTTGTTGTTGTTAAGTGCCGTTGAGTTGGTTCCGACCCATAGCGCCCCTGTACAGGGTTTCCGAGGGTGTAAATCTTTACGGGAGTAGAAAGCCTGATCTGTCTCCCGCGGAGCAGCTGGTAGTTTCGAAGCTCTGACCTTAAGGTTCACAGCCCGATTTGTAACCACTACGCTACCAGATATTCTTTGTAGGTATTATTTATTACTTTACTCTGATTGGGTTGCTGTTGTAAACATTTTAGCCATATTCTATTATAACTATCATTAATAAATTTTAATATACATCTATATATGTTGGACTATCCAAAGTATTTTATTCTGTATATCACATAAGACTGACTGTTTTTGGAATTTTAAGACTGATACTTTTTTTTCTTAGTCATTTTCCTCAGGTTAAAGATAAATGGATAAGAAATATTTTGAGTGACATTCTTTAAGCTAGTAGAAGGTGATTCTTTTACTTGTTTATTAAATTGGCTTGTGGAGAGAACAAATTTGAAAAGTGCAAGTTATTTTGGAAAAAAAAAATTTGCTTTACTTATTGAAGTATTATTTTTTAAAAAGAGTGTTTTACCCCAGTGGTTGAAATGTTTTCGTATTTAAATTGCATTGTTAGTGTCCTAGGAGAAACAAAATGGAACAGTCTGATGAAATCTTACTCTTTCTGTGAAAGAAAATCTATAGACCTTGTCATCGTTGTAATGGGTGGTCTCTGTTAGCCATGAATGCTTTTACTCAAGGGGTCATGTGGACATACAGAGAAAGGCAACCATACCTGTGTGTAGGTGATCCCAGATTAGCATAGCAACACAAACAAGCATGTTCAGATTTATCTTTGGAGGCATTAAAAATATTTTTGCGACTAGCTCTGCCTTAAATACTCTTGAGCTTGTGCACAAGCGCCCTTTAGAGGCTACAGTAGAAGGTACTTTTGAGAAAATTCTAACTGTTGTGAACTAAGTGTAAACTCATGGGCATACAAAGGCTCACCTAATTTCTCCCTTGCTCCTAATTTCTCTTCACTTTGGCGAAGAGATTGGGTTGAGTCTCTTTTGTGTTGTAACTTGCCCTTTCACAGGCCAACCAGCTGTAGTCCACATTCCAAGTGGAGGTTTGCAAGCATGCAACTTTTGAACACCTTATTTGTGTTGTACCTTAAAACTCCACCCCTCTGCACTGTGAAACAGAGCATGCCTTCCAGATAGTCACACTGTCCGATCTCTATGGAGAGCCAAGTGTGAGACCTGGAGAGGTGGTGACTTTATTAACTCCTGCCTTGCAGCTTGGGCTGTGGTCGCGCATGTGTGAATGTTTTTATCTGTATACAGAACTATCACCTAATAACCCCGTGGTTATATACTACAATGCTGTATTTGGACCACACATTTCAAAGTTGCCCTATGGAAATGAATCACTCCATAGTGACAAGTCATCAAATGTTCATCATATGTGATGAAGAACAAATAGATACCACACCTGGTAGGTACACTGGAGAAAAATGAGTACACCTTCAATGCGGATTTCCCTTTCAATTTTAGGTTTGGATCATCACTTTATATATGTGTATTTCCACATACGTTCTGTATTTGTATATGGCTGTGCAATGATATGAATCGTTGTAATACTTCATTGCATTGTGCTGAACCGCAAAGTTAGAAAACATTGTAATAAATGAAACTGATGAAAGAATTCTCTGAAAATCAGGTGTGTGAATTTTAAGTAGGTCTCAGTAAATTACTAAGACACTGATTTTCTACTGGGTAGTGTCAAGCATATTCTTTTATTCTCTATTTAAAATAATCCTTAAGACTACACACTGTTCAATATTTGGAATAAAAGGGACTTGCCTTCTCTCATTCTTTTAGATTTACAATGATAAAAATCTCGCTGTGCACATGGGAGGGAAAAAGGGATGAAGGGAGAGAGGAGAGGGCCAACCCCCATCCCCCATACCCCCCACTCCCACTCCCCGTGCACGCCCTGGCCTGGTGGGACTGATTTAGGAGCTGGAGGCTGCAGTTCAGTCTTGGACACCCAGTGCCTCTCAGGCCTGACCTATGGTCTGCACTTCACATGAAGCTGTTAAGGGAAGGGGTTCCTTCCGCTGGCATCAACCACTCTCTCTCGCTCTCTTTTTTTGGCTCTTGACTTTTTGTTTGTTGTTTATCCCAGATTTGTTTGTCATTCTGAATTAATGACCCCAAATCCTTGACTAATTCACTCCTATGAACTGAAAATGATCATAATTCCTATTGATTTTGTGCATTGTTAGCCTGGCCTGAAATTTCCTATTTGATTCAACTGCGTCAGCCTAAGTGTTTTGCGGATAAATAAGTACTTAAAACATAATTTTACAGGGTCCTAGGCTGAATTCCTCATGAAATCCAAACAGTGACGCCAAACAATACATCTCTGAGTGTATGTAGAATTAATGCTTGTGAATCTTAAAAACAAAACAAACTCTCCTTGAGCTGAGCATTGCAAATTTATTCCAACTCTGATTTCAATTTGTAGGCTGGTTGTACAATAAAAAATGAATATAAATGACTCCGTGCAGCCAGTTTATGTTTATTCACGGCACTTTCCTGCAGTCCGTCATCTTCTCATATCAGTACCGCCAAGTTTAGCTGTCTCCATTGTAATCTGTAGGCAGCTCTCACATGCACCCAGGGGAAACTAGTTAGATAGATTGACTCTTACCAGCGTCTCAGCTGTAACCACTGGAATATTGAAAGTATTTTATAGCTTGGTTTTCAGAAATTGACATGCCATCACCCCAAGTCCACAACCATTTCATTCAGAGGTAAGGAACATGGAGGATGGGGTTACTCACCATCGGCTTTGGGACTCAAAGTGCCCTTTGCTATCCGAGGTCATAAATGCTACCCTGGTACCATGCTGGCATAAAATAATAGTTATGGATGAAAGTTAAGTAGACCCCATTTTAAAGTAGTTGAAAACCAACTTGTTCTCGAATCTTCATTCTAGCAGAAGTTTCCTAGCCAGCGTGGCCACACATCCCATCATATCTTACTCATCAGCCTCCACTTTGCACTTTGTATTTTGTCCTCAGTACTGTGGCACTGCTTCCTTGGGGTGCGGTGGGTAGGAGGACATCTTGTCTTTGGCTTAACCTATGGGAAGGGACTTAAAACTCTGCTAGGTCTTCCCATTGCTGCTTCTTGCCTCCACCACTGGTCTGAGGTTTGAAGCTAGTTGGAGGATATGGTACTGAAAAGAAGTGGGAATATAAGCAGATAGACGTTGACCCTGTGAATCAGTAGGCACAAAATGTCCACTTGGGGATACAGATTAGTGTATGGTTGTCAGTGCAGCTTTTAAAAACAGCATGATATGACCAAGGCAAAGAAAGACACTAGGATGTGCAGTAGAGTCAAAGGTAATGCCATGCTATACACAATTCTACAATAAGAGTAACAATAATCTACTAGTGTATACATAGACACACAAGCTAAATAGGTATAGGAAGGCAAGTGGGACTACACTCATGAATATATATAGGTTAAGTGTCATCGAGTGGGTTCTGACTCATAGCAACCCTGTATAGAGTTTCTAAGGAGCAACTCGTGAACTTGAACTATCTACCTTGTAGTTCAGCACATTAACCCACAGCACCACACCAGGACTCCATATATAGGCTTAGCGGAGGATATTTTTACTTCTAAATATGTGCTGCAAAGATATACATAAGTGTGGTTATGTAAACTTAGCCACAACTGAATAGCTTGAGGGACTGAGTCCCCAGACCTGGAGGCTCAAGACCATACTGTCAGGGGAAACCAAGGTCAATTGGCTTAGCAGTCCACAAAGACAATGTTCTACATCCTATTTTGGTGAATAGCTATTAGGATTTTAAAGCCATCTAAGGTGGAACTGTTGATCTTTCCCTGTCTGACACAAAGAAGAATGAATAAAATCAAAGATGCAAGGAAATAATGAGTTCAAAGCCAAACCACAGCCTCTATGCTGGGTGTGGTGCTGTAGGATAAACATTGAGAACAGAAGAACTAGATGGTGCCAGGCAACTACTACCAAGCACTTTGGTTTGGTTCACAGTAGAAGGTCCTGG